TTATGACGTCGATATGAAAAAGTTAAACACAAAGAGCCAGCCAGCCCGCCAGCCAGCCAGACAGTTAATCAATAACAAAACAACAACATTCATTTTTATTACATACCTGTTGAATAATTTTTAATATGCTTGCCGTCAAAAAATAAAAGTAATACAAATGATAATGCTGACGATGCTACTACTACTGTTATTGCTGCTGCTGCTACTACTACTAATAATAACTAGGTGACACTGTGCAGGTTGCTCTGCCCAAGGTATGGAATGATCTTCCAGCAAGATTGAAGCAAGTTGTTCCAGGAAAAGATTTCCGAAGAGAGTTAAAAAGTTATTTGTTCAACAAAGTTATTTGTTAAATAATCGCAGTACAATCCTCTGAGGAATGTCAGTAGAGTGAATAACATAATAATAATAAGGATAATAATAATAATAATAATAATAATAATAATACTAATAATAATAATGATACAGCTATTTCGTTTACTTATACTACTGCTGCTGCTTCTGCTACTAAGTAGTAGTAGAAGCCATAGCAGTAGTAGTAGTAGTAGTAGTAGTAGAAGTAGTAGTAGTAGTAGTAGTAGAAATAGTAGTAGTAGTAGTATTAGAAGTACTAGTAGTAGTAGTAGTAGTAGTAGTAGTAGTAGTAGTAGTAGTAGTAGTAGTAGAACGTTTGATGAAACTAACACAAAAGCGTATATATTATATTTATAGTCAATTGTGCCTAAAGTCGGTTGTTACGGTGTTTCGCTTAGTTATGTTATGTTACTTTAAGTAATGTTATTTTTTTTTAATCCATTTTATTCACAAAAAAAATATTATATCATCTAATTTTTCTGCACACCAGTTGTTCATAAGTTTTCCAGATTCTCCAAGTCATTCCATGCTTATACTCACCCAGAAATCCCCATCGATCGATCGCTCACCCGCTGCCATTCTCGATCCGGGCAGACCATCAATCTTTTTGGCTGTCTATTTTTTCCCTTGAGGATTTATTACCAAAGCATGATGAGTTTGATATTTTTCTAACTTTATTCTGTGTTTGAGGATTGCTTGAATGTCTGTTGTTGGCGGACACTTCTACAATAGAGATGACTTGTTTAGGATAATTCACTCCACATAACGTGACATATTTAGTGGACTCAGAACAAAATTCACTAATAGTCATTTCTACAACAGAGATGACTTGTTTAGGATAATTAACTCTACATAACATGACATATTTAGTACTTATTTAGACTCAGACCAAAATTCCATACGACATCATCTAATAAAATAAAATATAACAGACAGCAAAATAAAAGTTAAAATAGTTAATAGAGAATCTCAACAGGATGATTGCAAGAAAACTATCTGCCAATCATGAAATGATTAGTTATTGATACCATGGATACATATATATATATATATATATATATATATATATCAAAGATTAATACAGATTGAAAATATGAAACTAACTCTCTATTTAGAGTTAAACAGCTCGGCGCCAAACAAATCGCCTCAATGAAAGTAAATAAAAACACGTAAATAAAAATAAATGATCTTTCGTGAAGTTAAGTGAAGGTTCATTGTGCATTCGAACCAGGTGGCTGCGACACCGGAAGAGACTTTTTCAATCACTCCACCATCTCTGCATGCATGAATGGAATTTTGTAAAATCTGAAAGTTTCCCCCATAACTTTCGAGTTTAGGACATCAAATTTCGAAATGAATTTTAGAAGAATTTGTTTATTAAATAGTTGAAAGTTAGTACATATTATATAGTCAAAAGTTAATGCAATAAAACGTTTTAAAAATTATTATTATTTTTTTTTAAGAATTTGCAGATGTTGTTTCATAGTTATATTTCTGGGGGGTACTACTGCTACTACCACCAAACAATCATATTTTATTCAATTATATTCAGCAGTAAGTGGGTGGTGGGTGGTCATATAGTTTTTGCACACACACACACACACACACACACACACACACACACACACACACACACACACACACGCACACACACATACTTTAATAAAAATTAAACTAACTCAAGGCCGCCCAGAAGGGTGGGCATAAGTCGGGAACTGCCCCGGGCCACAAAACTCTGGGGGTACTTGTTAATTAATTGGGAAAACGTTTGACGGGCGGGCGATTAGGTTGATCCGTTGCCATGGTACATCCCGAAAATTAGGAAAATATATGGTGATGATGGTGGGAAAAAGGTTAGAGAAAGGGTTGCCAGAGAAAAAACTTTTGCCTCGGGTCGCAAAATAGGCGATCTTGACTAAATTAGTTTCATCATTCTATTCTTTCGGTCATAATTTAGTTATGACCAAATAAGTTATTTATAGTATAATCATAGTCGTAATAAGTCATTTATAAAATAATTAGTATTAATATGTTGTTTATGTTATTATTATAGCCGTAATAAACTATTTATAATATAATTATAGTCATAATAAGTCATTTATAAAATAATTAGTATTAATAAGTTGTTTATGTTATTATTATAGCCGTAATAAACTATTTATAATATAATTATAGTCATAATAAGTTATTTACAATATAATTAGTAGTTATAAGTTGTTTATATTATTATTATAGCCGTAATAAACTATTTATAATATAATTATAGTCATAATAAGTTATTTATGATATAATTATAGTCATAATAAGTTATTTATGATATAATTATAGTCATAATTTTTGCTCCGCCAAACGACGCACTGAGTTGTTACAAATGCTCTGAGACGAGCGACTGTGGAGGAAATTTCAGAAAAAACAGTTCCGGTGTGCAGCAGTGCTTTGGCAACCTATGCTTCAAGACCTGGAGTGAGTTTTTTAAAGAATTTTAATTTTTCGTAATAAAAATAATAATAATACATGCCCGTATAAACACATATTTTTAGATCAAGAAGTGTGACAAAGCTTTCTTTACTACCTTCCCATACTCTTTTTAAAAAAATGTCTTTTCTATCCGCCTTGCATATTAAAAGTCTATTCAAACTTTACCTCCGATCCATTACTAATTTGAACCTCCTGTTTTTTGATCAACTGCAAATTATTATTTCAACGCTCCATCATACTTGGGTAAGACGACTGCCATGGAGTTGTCGTAATTCATTTCAGCGTTTCATTTGATGTCTAAATGTTGCTCTATGTGTGTGTGCGTGCATGCGTGTGTGCGTGTTGTATGTTTACGTCGGTGTATGTGTATATGCATCACACATCAATATTTATTTCATAATTTATGGAGATTTTACTCTCCACTCATCCAAATTTTTTAAAATCAACATCTCTTCCACTGCCACTACCACAATCGCCACAGCCACTACCACAATCGCCACCACAGCCACCACTACCACCATCGCCACCAGACAAATTGAAAAAGGGAAATGTTATGACGAGGGGTTGCATTGGCTCTAACGTTCCTGAAACGAAAATGTATGGCTGCTACAAAAAGATACTGCCCAATCAGTTTGATATGATTGAGGAGATCATCTGCTTCTGTAGGAGTAGTTCTTTGTGTAACGGAGCGACGAAAGTAGCGATGCTTGCGACTACCGCCACAACCACCACCACAACAACAACTGCTACTTTTGATGACATTAAAATTGTTACTGTTTTTATGTTCTGGCTATGGTTATGGTTGTGGGTTTCATTAACATTTTGATGTTCGTTAAGGAGATGACATCACAAGTTTTTAGTGACATTAAGATCGATCAAAGAGTTTTTGGTTGTACTTTATTTTGTTGTTGATGTTGTTGTTGTTAATGTTGTTATTGCTGATGATGATAATGTTGTTGACGTTGCTGTTTTTGTTGCTAATGTAGTATTAGTAGTTGTTGTAGATGTTGTTGATATTAATGTTGTTGTTGTCGTTGATGATGATGATGTAGTAGTTGTGGTTGTTGTTGATGATATAAATGTTGTTGTTGATGATAATGTTGTTGTTGTTGATGATATTAATGTTATTGTTGTCGTTGATGATGGTAATGATGTTGTTGTTGTTGTTGTTGGTGGTGGTGCTGTAGTTCACGCACACACACACTCACACACACACACACATACACACACACACACACACACACACACACTTTAATATTTCTATTTTTTTTATTTCTAACCGATAACAAAGAAAGAATAATGATTAAACAAATTAGTAAAAAAGATGATGGCCATGATGGTATAACATCATTTCAAAGCGAACGCCATCCTTCAAATTTGCTCTGCTTGAACTAATAAATTTAAAATTAATTAGTATCTTAATTGAAACACACACATGTAGAACATGATACGTGATTTACACACACGCACATAAACACACATACTCACACACACATATATATATATTTATTTTGGAACGAGGTTTTCTTTGATGCAAATATCGTTAAATATTTTTGCCCATTTTGCATTAATTAATTTTTTAATAAGGATTTTGACAACACGAAGCTGTTTTAATTCATATTTATTATCATTTTGTGTCATCCTAGGCTTACAACGTTGTTTCGACATACAGTCATTATAAGAGCCTGGTTTTACGAAATATCAAAAATTGAATTATAATTTAAACATTAAAATCAAGAAATTTAATGAAAAGTACAAGAAATGAAATTATGACGTTGTAATTAGAAAATTAGAAAATGTAAAATATGAAAAATGTTACCTTGTAATAATAAAATATTGCAATAAAACAATAAATGGTTTTAAACGAATGAAATTAAAATAAAATTATAAAATAAGTAAATAAAATTGTGTAGAAACGTATAATAAAACAATTCAGTTAGACGGGAAAAACAAGTGTTTCGTGGCGGGATGATATTAAAAGTGAAAGTCAGTAAGACGATATAAAAAAGGTGAATGTAGAAATTAAAATTTATTATAATTAATAAATAATTTAGATAAAGATAAAAAAATAAAATTTGAAACAAAATAAAATGACGTTATTAAAATAAGTATTATAGAAAAATAAGTAATAAAAATATAAATATAAAAATATCATAAAATAAAATAATTTAGCAGTTATTGAATAAGGTAGCAAGTGACGTGATGACCATGGATTTCGGACGTGACGTTAATAACTGTGTATTAACTGGTCGAAAATTGTCAGACTTAGAACGATATTCGTATCGTGTGGGTACTGAAACGTCTGCTGGCTTGTTTTCGACTGCAATCGTTGGTATCAGTTCACTATATTGAGAAAATAATTGAAGGGTATAATCGAAACTATTATATTGTTTGTTTAATGTTGGTTTGTATTTGTTGATGTACAGGGCTTCGCGAATTTTGAGACGTCCAGTATTTAATACTGAATCCAGTATTGTTGTATTTGGATCCAATATGGTCCTAGTAAGAGGCATATGGTGCTCGTTGGACATATGGTTTCTAATGGCGCCGTCCTGCAAATGCATAGTGAGCCTACGAAAAAGAGTAGTACGCGTGTGGCCGATGTAACTTCC